AATGAAATAGGTAACATAGATGGAGAAGAGGTAACATAGATGGAGAAGGAGAAAGCTTTTCCGTCCATGGTTACAAAAATAATGAATTAGGTAGGAGAAAGCTTCCCCGTCCATGGTTACAGAAATAATGAAATAGGTAGCAAAGATGGAGAAGGAGAAAGCTTCTCCGTCCATGACTACAGAACTAATAAAATAGCCAGTATAAGATGGAGAAGGAGAAAGCTTCCCCGTGCATGGTTACAGAAATAATAAAATAGGTAGCATAGATAAGAAGGAGAAAGCTTCTCCATGCATGGTTACAAAACTAATGAAATAGGTAGCATAGATGAAGAAGGAGAAAGCTTCTCCATGCATGGTTACAGAAATAATGAAATAGGTAGCATAGATGAAGGAGAAAGCATCTCCGTGCATGGCTACAGAAATAATGAAATAGGCAAGCATAGATGGCTCGCCGACAGGCAACCAACAAAAACAGAAAAATATAACAATGGTTTTTATTGAAACGGAAAGTGAGCCAATGAGTAGAGCTTTGAATCATACAGTGTTGCTTGGAATATTCACTCTGTGCCATATAACGAAGGAAAAATAACACACATTGCTGCTGAGAATTCCTGAAACTTTGCATCAAACAAACATCCATGAAGTCCACTGAATCCCAGCTCCCAAGATCTTGCTTGCAGCCACCATATTCCGATTATATCAACATCAAAGAGAACCCAACAAGTGTGAAATTTGAAATTCCTCAAACACTGCCATTTTGTGGATCTACAATACTTGAAAGAACAACAGAACTTTGGCTAACCTTCCCTCCTGCGTTTCCCGGTTCGTTTTGTACTATCTCCTTCGCTAGGCGAATCGGCATACTTCTCGGTCCAACATTTATGCACCATAGTTTTCACATTACTAAACAACTTACGATCCTCACGATCCATCCCATTCGTGGAGATCGAGTTTACTATCTTCACTACCTCATGCATAGCCTTGATTGTTTGCCTAAATCTAGACTCCCACGACTCGGCCCGTCCAACAAATTTGCGGGTAATCTTTTCATACCATTGCAAATACTCACTTTCATCTACACTAGCAACACCATTTTCGATAAGTTCATAACGGTCCGACCATTCTTTAAGCTCTGATGGCAGTTCCTCCTTGCTATCCATCAAACAAATTTTCCTCTTCCAATCCTCAACGTCCTTTGGAATAGGCTGAGGCAGGCCAAACTGTCTCAGACATCGGTCAGGAAGATGTTTCTCCGCCTTATCAAAACAAATCAACATTGTTCGAGATGCAGACAAGACCAAACTATTCTTGATATCGTCGGGTACAACGGAAAAGTCCATATCCTTGTAGGGAAGCCATTGTACCTGAATAGTACACGAAAAAGTCGAGAAAGTCATACAGCTTGCTATTTTCGAGAAGGGGGAATACTAGAATCATTACAGAGAAACTTACATCAGAGGGTTGAAGAGAATCCAAGGCCTTGCGGTATGTGGGCAAATTTATTCCCATTCTTGAGCCACTTCTATTTTCCGTCCATTTAAGAAGAAACGGGAAACAATTCTCTGGCTCCTTTTTCAATTTGGGTCGCCCAATATTCAAGTGATAATAACTCCAACACTGTTATGCAGGTGAGGAAAAAGTCCAGAGAGGGAGTCAGCATTTTAATGAGAACACAACATTTGCAGAGATGCAATACAACCGTAGTTGCATCGACTCTAAGCGACCGACATTCTCCGACACTAAAAGAAAAGAGCAACGAGCTTACATGCCTGCAGAAGCGTTAGAGAACCACTAATAGTGCGCTGTGATTTAAGAGAAGCATTGCCTAATGCTCTATACAAGAAAGCCAAAGCAGCAGCACCCCAAGCATACTTTCCAGCTTCATCAAAATCCTTGAATAATGAAAGGTACATGACACTAACTTTGTTCCCACTTGTTGAGGCAAATATCGTACTCCCTAACAAGTATAAGAGGTATGCACGAGTAGAATACTCTATTTGTTCGATACTCGCATCTTCGTGACATTCAGAGAAAACCTCCTTCAACCAAGTAAGCTTCACAGCACCCTTGAAATCTATGGGTGCTTTCCCAAGTAAATTTTCACAAAGTGACTTGGGATCGACATCCACATCTGTAACAGGTTTTCCGTCGATTGATAGCCCAAGTAGAAGCGCAACATCTTCGAGTGTTATGGTCATTTCTCCGACCGAAAAATGGAACGTGTTTGTTTCCTTTCTCCATCTCTCCACCAGTGCTGAGATGAGCGCACAGTCGAGGGTTACTGCTGGCATCAATCTCAAGTACCCAAATCCAGCCTTTTCAACTAGCTCGATTTGTTTTCCTGTAAGCTTCCATCTCTCGAGAATGGAAGTATGCTCTAAACATCTAAGCACACCCCTTTCCTGCCATTTTTTTTAAATATACAACAGTAAGAATATATCTCAACCTCTGTAAATTTACTAAATGGAAACAATAGCACTGATCAAAGCTCCAACAAGACTACAATCCATTACCTTTCCGTCCCAAATGTCTGACGATATGTGATTATCTTGCTCTTTGAGTATTAAGGGATCATCTGGTCCAGGAGTTGCACTGGAGTCCATTCTCTTACTTAAAGATTGTAAAAAGAAAAAAAAGAAAACTCGACGAAACAGGGTATACGCCAAACTTAAGCGTCAGCTATAAAAGAACACCTCACATAGTCATTGGCCAATGCAAAACAAGATCATTCCACAGATTGATTGCCTGAATTAGAAAGAAAATAACTTCATTGAAGAAAAATCCTTAAGATTGAATTTCAAATTCTCCAACCAGCTGGAGCATTAAGGTTTAAGTTAAACACAACAACAAGATGACCCGAAAGAAAAAACATGGTGGGACATGTAAATGGTGAGCGGGTGGAAGCATTGGTTCAAAATTTAAATGCTTCAACATAAACAGTGAATGTGCTACGAGCATAAAACCTAGATCTCAATCAAATTTTCCAATGCCTATTGGGATGGGGAGGAGGAAGACTTGTCCCACATTATGAAATGAGGTTCAAGATGTTTTCTTTCTCCCAGTAATTAAATACACGAGACGAGACTATGGAGTAAACTCATTTAGAACACAATTTTGGCTGGTCAAAAAGCAAATAACAGCTGAAATTTGAACCTTGACAAACCAAATAAGCAGAAAATTCATTTTCTTGACAACAGAATCAGAAAATTAAGTTTCCTTGTGATCTCCATTAAGCGTTAGCTTAGGTCATACAAACAAGAAAAATAAAATCATTCTTGGTTTAATACAAAAATGGAGGTCTCAATACTCAAGCGCAAGCCAATATGAAATTTAAAATCTTGCTGGAGAGAAACCAACTGGGCTCACTAATTTCAGAATAACATTGGGGAATGAAACAGAAACCATAAAATTACAGCAAGAAAGAAAAAATAGGGAAGAAGGAAGAGCCAATGTAAGAATTACGGAGAAGTTGGGGAGTGATGGAGTTGGAGTACTAGAGAGGGCTTTCTGCTGCTGCAACTGTCTTAATTTTTGTTCTCTACTTCAACTTTGGTTCTTTGATGCAATGCTAGTGTACTCTTAGATCTCTTAGTCGAAGATATACGTCTAAACTAATTGATTTCTTGGTCAAAATTTACTAAATGTTCTACACAATTTTCAACAATATATAGAAAAATTGATAGATGGGATAAATTTGGCTCGTCTTTTTTTTTTTTTTCTATATACGTTTAGTAAAACAACGCTGCTTCACCAATTGCTCTCAAATGACCATAGCTGAAACAAAGAACAACAATTTCGGCAATTGCAGAAGCAAATGGCCTTCTTCGTTTTCTCAATCCCATCACTACCAGCTTTCCTTAAGTGATCGAATCTTCCTTCTTTTTTTCTTGCTGCAATTTTATGGTTTCTCCCTCATTCCCCAGTGTTCTTTTGGAATTTTTGAGCCTAATTGGTTTCTTTCCAACGAGATGTTTAATGATGGATTGAATTGCATTCAGAGTATATTGAGATCTTCATTCTTGGGGAAGGAAACAGGTGGATCCAACGGGCAATTGTGAACTTAATCTTAGTGTTCTTTTTTTTTTTTCAACTTAATGGGGATAGTACACAGGTTGAGTTGTAGGGATTTTTTGGACCCGGACATAACCCAATAGGGTTAGTATCCCAAACCAATCCTTCTATTTTCAGGTTGGGTTGGGCAGGTTGTCGGTTGTTCAGTAGTTGAAATAGTTTAATTTTCAACCATTTCTTTGACTGACCATCATATTATTCAATATTTAAAAACTAAATCAAATGAACACAGATAGTGTTGCAGGTGAACAACTACGTGTCACGGAGCATTGCAAATGAGTAAAATTAAGTAGGGCCATTCAAAACACTGTTAGCAATTGGTCGATTGATTTAGGCAAGTAAGTAAAATTAAAAAGGAAATTCAGTTTCAAAACAGATTACTACGGAAATTTCTAGTGTGCTCGAACGTTTGAATAAATAAATACCTGGAGAATGGAATTACGAAGCACAGAGTTAACACAATTGCCGGAGGGGGCTGCTGTGGTAGTCGCTGGAGGGAAATCGGGGTTTTTTTTCTTCCGGTTGACTGGTTAAATCACAGTAAAAGAACTCGAAATGTAACCGGCGGCGAGCGGAGGCGCGATTAAACGAAGATCGGCGAACCACTGAGGGGAACTTCGACGGACGGTAGTGTACACTCGACACGATGAACAACGAAATGGAAGGAGAATGCTCGACCTCGACGAACAGCTGAACGCAGCTGAAATGTGTGGGAGGGAAAGGACAAAACCCTAAAAAGTATATATATTCAAACCCGGTTCGTTACCGGTTGAACCGAACCTTTATTCCATTGAACCCGCAAACCAAGCTGAACCGGTCAGTATTGACATTTTTCCAATATTTGAAACTAGAATGTTATTTTTCCAGAATTTAATTTTGAAAAAATATGGGGAGTAACTTTTGTAATTTAGCAAGGTTTACTCATCCGATAAAAAAAAGTAGAAAATGACCAAATTGCCCCTTCCGATCCAGCGTCCGGTTATTGAGAGTTAACAGACGGTTCAAACACCGAGCACGGCGGCGTCATCATCTTCCTCCTTCCGTGGGTCTCTCTCAAACCTTTACCCCTTCCTCTGTTTTGGAGCTTAAAAAACGTCGTTATTCCATGCTTTATTGAATACTAATGACATGACTTCCAAATCTCTTTGTTCTTACCAACGGAGCTCTCAGGATTATTGGATACCGGGAAAGCTGGGATCAAAACATGTGGAACGTGATGCGTTTTAGACTATCTTGGTTTGTAAATGAAAGGACGTCCATCGGAAGGTTTTGTTCTTGTTCTGGTTAATTAGCTTCATATTTTTAGCCATTAATTACATAGAAGTAGAGTAGCCATTGAAGAACGCTTAGTGGTGCTACGGGATTGCGATTTGGAAATCCAGTTTGTTCTTTGATTTATAATCAGCTGCATCATCCCGTTTCATAGATTGAATGCTTTTCCTGCTTGATTTCATATTTATAGTTTGTGATGCTTCGTATTCATCTGCCTCATTCATTCATTGTCTGTATGAGATTTAAAAAAGTGGATCTAGGGCTCTTTGTGCAGCGAGGGCTCCTTGTGATATCTGTATAGAAACCTATATTGATAAATAATCTAGTTTAGAAGTCCTAATTTGTTGATCTTATTACTCATAACATACACAATTTTTCATTCTTCTAGTAGCGCTACTGTGATACCTAATGAGTCATAGCCGACAATATCTATTAGCGGTGGGCTTGGACTGTTATAAATGGTATCAAAGCCAGACACTGAGCGGTGTGCCAGCGAAGACGCTGGGCCTCCCTCAAAGAGGGTGGATTGTGAGATTCCACATCGGTTGGAGAGGGGAACGAAACATTCCTTATAAAGGTGTAGAAACCTCTCCCCAGTGACGCATTTTGAAATTGTGAGGCTGACGGCGATACGTAACGGGCCAAAGTGGACAATATTTGCTAGCGGTGGGTTTGGCTGTTACACTTAATGTTTCACAAAAGAAGTTTGCCTCACTTTATTTTATTTTTTGGGTTTGAATCTTAAAGAAATACTATGTTTCAAGGCATTTCACACCTTAAAGAACATCGTTCATCTTCTTTTTGATTCTTTGGCACTTTCCGAAGTAGCATTTGTGCTGCATAGTTTTCACCAAATGTTGCTGTACAGAATCAGATAGATCCTATGGATGCAGCAGATGCCAGAAACTTTGTTGTAGGAGACACTTTTCGTGAAGAAGTGGATGGCGTTAGGCATCAAGTCGATGAGATATTTCTGAAGGTCGACAGGGTAAAACACTGATATATTGTAACCTCATTGTTTTGCAGTTATTTTTCCTTTTTATAGGTCTGTTTCACATTTGTTATTTGGGGCATATCGTTGTCTTGACAGACCTAGTACTCTTGAGCTCGGTGAAGGGTGACTGTGAATATACATAAATAGATGAAATCCGGGGAAAATAGTTTCGCTAGGTTTTACTTGATTGGAGCTCCTCTCTCTATAGTGCTCCCTTTTGTGGGCTTGGATTTTGGTTTGCTAATGAAAGTTGGTGTGTGAGATCCTACATCGGTTGGAGAGGGGAACGAAGCATTCTTTATAAGGGTGCAGAAACCTCTCCTTAGCAGACGCGTTTTAAAAACCTTGAGCGGAAGCTCAAAAGGAAGAACTCAAAGAAGACACTATTGGTTAGCAGTAGGCTTGGGCTGTTACAGTATGACAGCCTACATAATTGGACACATGACAGGTGAAGGGATAGGAACAATTAAGTCGAGGAACACTCATCATGTCATTAAAATTTACTCGACATATGAGCAGATATCATCGTCTCATAGACTCGGTCTCTCTAGTCATTTCATTGTTCAAAGTCAGAGGAGTCATTTTGCATTTCAAACTAGGAATGTCAAATATAATCACTTCACTTCCCCAAACTATAAGGATTAAATAGTATCCTTCCACAAACAAAAACTACTTTTCTCATCAAATTGTTTGTTCAAATCTGAGCTTCTTTTTTTTTTTTTTCTATCCTTGCAGCTCGAGCAAAGCGCGAGTGAGATAGAACAGTTCTATTTGACATTGAAAAAAAAGCAGCCAAATGGTAGTAAAGGTAGCTCTATTGTAAAGGATAAATATAAGGAAAGACATGTTCCAAGTATTAAGAAGCAGCAGCAAGATGCAGCTCGCAGAGAAGCTGTAGCTGCAAAGAGAATGCAAGAACTCATGCGGCAGTTTGGGACAATATTGCGTCAGGTTACCAACTCACTGGTGTTTTCTTCAATTCTGTTGCTAATTTTTCGTGTGCTTTCCTATTTGCATGCCATCTCATGGTCAGGTGCCTTTCTTTATATTTCTGCATTGACTTTCAGATATCACAGCATAAGTGGGCCTGGCCGTTTATGAAGCCAGTGGACGTCGAAGGTCTCGGATTGCATGACTATTATGAGGTGTGGTCTATATCCATATCCAAATATGAATATTGAATGTTGTATATATAAATTTTGAGCTGGGAACTAGAATATACAACTTTTGCATATGATCAAGCCAGAGTTGAACCCGCCTTTGGAGATGGGGGTTGAACTTGCTTAGCCAGTCGGAAAGCTAGTTGAAGCTTTGGACGGAGTGGGACCTACTTCTTAGGGCAGGAGTGAAGACCGACTCTCTACCTCTTCTTGGACACCCCCAACACACACAACATTCTTGATATTGTTGACACTATTGTAGATCTTTCTTCCAAGTCAGTCGGGACTACCCGCTGAGTTTAAGCACTATTATAGACATGTCTTAAAATGAAGTTCTTGAGAGTAATCGTCTAGAGGAGGCTCATCTTTCATGCTTGCATCACTTTTTTTGTTTGTGTTTCTCCAACCAGTTTGTCTAGATTGCTAGTTTCACGCATATGTCTCACAGGTGCGAGTGCGAATATTCAATATGCATACACTTACCTAAAAAACGCTTAAAAGACACGAGCGTGATTAATAAGGTAGCGGCGTGGTAATATTTTAGCATCTCTTGTTAAGCACTCAGGTTTTGTAATCCTTCATGTAACACATGTACTGTATTTTTTAGGTGATTGACAAGCCAATGGACTTCAGTACAATTAAAAATCAGATGGAGGCTAAGGATAGCACTGGATATAAGAATGTGAGAGAGATATGTTCTGATGTGAGATTAGTCTTCAAGAATGCAATGAAATATAACGATGAGATAAGCGATGTTCACGTGATGGCCAAGACTTTGCTCGCTAAGTTTGAGGAGAAATGGCTTCAACTTCTGCCTAAAGTCACTGAAGAGGTAAATTGTTAGTTTTGAGAACAGTTCTTGAATGAATCAATACTCTTTAATCAATTCATGCTGCCTGGGAGTTCTAATATCATTTGGTTGAAAGAAATGTTTAAAATTTGGTTGAAGTTCTTAAAAATACCTCAGCTTCCAGGAAAAGAGACGAGAAGAGGAGGAAGCAGAAGCGCTGTTGAACGTGCAGCTTGCTCACGAGGCTGCTCGAGCAAAAATGGCTAGGGACATAAGTAACGAGGTTTGCTGTTCATCTTTTTCTAAGGATCTAGCTATCTTGAGAATGCTTGTCTGTAGATGGCCTACTTCCTTTTGATTTTCTACGTATCATGAACATTGAATACGGAAATACTTCATTTAAACATTTTCATAAATCATAGACTTCACTTTAAAACATTGTTATGGACTTGCGTGTTTGAAAAGACCTTTAAAACAACACAACGAAAGACTAAATAAAAATAAATAAACATTTAAATTAAAACATCATATTCTAGCCTAAGTCTAAGAAAATAATTGCAACTACCCTATGCACGTGTCATAGTCTCGAATTGTGATGTCGTTCGTATAGGGATGTCTTGCCTTTGTCTAAAATAGAAGTAGCACGTGGCTTGAGTATTTTAAGACTTACCTAGTATGTGACCCCACTATTGGGGTTAGATAAAATAATTGCAACTACCCTATGCACGTGTCATAGTCTCGAATTGTGATGTCGTTCGTATAGGGATGTCTTGCCTTTGTCTAAAATAGAAGTAGCACGTGGCTTGAGTATTTTAAGACTTACCCAGTAAGTGACCCCACTATTGGGGTTAGATGCAAACACACTCAATCATGAGTGGGACCTATCATATCAGTCTATATTCCTTAGGCGGCTATCCTAAACGGGCTAATTGGATGCATATTTACTATTCTACACAGTTCACACATGCGAGTATGGATCCACCAGTCGGTTCGCACACCTCTTGGGCCCCTTTCTTGTCAGTCAACTCTAATTTACAAAGGGAACGTCGTTTCCCGCAACCATTTCTCGCTGGAATTCTTAGACTGCCTGCGCTGTAATTTTTTTGTTTTTGTACACCTTATATGGAAACACATTAGACGATTTACATATAGGTAGTGAATTTTTTTCAGATTTATGAGGTCGATTCAAAACTCGAAGAGCTTCGAGAACTGGTCATGCAGAACTGCAGGTTTATTCTAACTTTTGTTATTTCAAATTTCAGCATTCGAAACTGGGGTTGATTTGCTTGTGACATTAGAAAATGACTTGCACTCCATATATGAACTGTACTAATACCATCATTGTGTGGTTCAGAAAAATATCAACTGAAGAAAAGAGAGAGCTTGGAGCAGCCCTCACCAAATTGTCTCCAGAAGATCTCAGCAAAGCGTTGGAGATTGTAGCTGAAAATAACCCAAGTTTTCAGGCTACAGCTGAGGAGGTGGATCTCGACATCGATGCACAGGTACCTCCCTCCACCCCCTCCCCCTGCGTCGCTTCGTACTCGTCTATGACAATGATTAATGGAGTTTATTGCTGCATCATATAGAGTGAATCTACCTTGTGGAGGTTAAAGTTCTTTGTTAAAGATGCCCTTGAAGTTGACGCTAAGAGCTCGGCGAGCACCGGTGGTGGCAACAACCCCCCGAACCGTACAAACAGCAATAACATCAACGGTAACAACAAAAGAAAGAAAGAGATTTGTGATGCTATAGCCAAAACATCCAAGAAAAAAACTAAATAGCCACTCTTCTTGAGAATGATACCAAATTTTCACCTCTAAAGCTGAAGCATTGCTGCTTTTTTTGTTCTCATGTCTGTAGATACTTAGATCTTGGATCTTAGTCGCTTTTAGTTTGCTTGTTTCTGAAGTGATCAGTGTGAATAAGATTAGTAACAAGCTAGCCCATAAAATGTCATGGTCTTTCTCCTGTAATTATCCTTTTACAGTTTGTCTCGTGTCGAAAGGGCTTACTCGCCGTTCGCTTGCAAAATTGAGCTTTTCCTGTAATTATCCTTTTACAGTTTGTCTCATGTCGAAAGGGCTTACTCGCCGTTCGCTTGCAAAATTGAGCTTTTCCTGTAATTATCCTTTTACAGTTTGTCTCATGTCGAAAGGGCTTACTCGCCGTTGGCTTGCAAAATCGAGCTTTTCCTGTAATTATCCTTTTACAGTTTGTCTCGTGTCGAAAGGGCTTACTTGCCGTTCGCTTGCAAAATCGAGCTTTTCCTACATAGGAATCCTTGGTGTAGTCATAGCATTGCAGTGTAGTGTTTGTAATGCCTTATTGTTTCCATTGGTCGTATGTATTTTGATAGCAGAAATAAAGGCTTTTTGTTGTAAGTGGTATCAATAGAATCTTCCGTTTTCGTGGTTAAACAAAGAAGGTGCGGGTCTCAGAGAGGTAGTCATAGTAGAGATTTATGGTAAAACTCTGTTAGATTAGCAATGTGCGAATGATGCTAGACGAATAGATGAATATTTTACGGGGAACCTTCTGCAATCGAATGACGGTAATGATCCTTCCTCTACTGAAGTATATAACGACATTTTGCTTTGGTGTTCTCGGTTTGGATTTATGGCTCCTTATTCCATTGTGTGATTTCTGTTGTTTCTTCGTATCATTTTTTTTTAATCTTAGAATTTTGTGTTTGTTCATGTATGCATTTACTGCTCTTTTAATTTAAAATTTTATTTATCTCATGGTATCATTCGATATCAAATTTAAATTTATAAAAAAAAATTAAAAAAATTAATCTCAAACTCATTACAATAAGGCCAATTTTTAAAAAATAGTATATTATGAATTTATTATTATTATTATTATTATTTTGTAAGTTCCTATTAAATATAAAATTCAAGAAATAATAGGAAAGTAAAAAATAATTAATAAATTAAAAATGAAAGGGCTAAGGTGTGAAAATAATTAATAATTAATAAATGAAAATCAGAGTAAAAGAACGTGAAGCGCGTGGCGCGTGGGCCCACAATCAGCCAACCGCCAAGTCCATTTTGGCAGGAAGAGGAAACCAAAGCGTTGACCAGGATTAGGTCGCCCGCCGTACGGCCCCTTCCAGAAATTTCGCCGTTAAATTACAGTATTTTCCATTCAACTATCGACAACTCCAACAAAGGCGTGTGTGTTGCACGGTGTCGTTTCATCTGGAAAAGAAAAATAAAATAAAATAAAATCAAACAACGAAGCATCTCCTTTTTTTACTCTAGTCTTTGCCGTCACCTACCCTCCTCTCCATAATTCCTTCTCCGAGCATCTCCGCTTCTCTTCTCTCAGATCTCCAGGTATGATTCTGCATTCTTTTTATTTGATTTGATTTGATTTGATTTGTTTTCCGATCCGACTTTGCGCTGCGTTTATACTTTCGTTTTCTCGTTTTCTGTTGAAGTTTTATCGAGTTTTTGTGCGACCTGACTTGTTTGACGTACATGCGCTTTTACGAGCTCAATCCGTTCGGATTGTTCTGGATTGTGCGTTTTAGTTTTGTATTATGTGATCCGTTAGCTAAGGATTCAGTTCTGAGTTGATTATTTTGGAATTGTTTTACTAATAGCCTTAGTTCGATGATCATTTTTATCCGTTTGATCAAGTTGCGAAAGTTGACATAATTAGCAACCGGATTTTTTTTCTTCTTGTTTTGTAAATTTGACTTCGATTATGTTTGCCGTTTCTTTAATTACTTACAAATCCTTGTTTACAAGTACCTGCATGACTTCTCCTGATTGTTGGAGTGATTATAGTAATTTGGACCTCCAGATGATATAGGAAATTCTTTGGTCAATTTTTTCTGGGTGAAAATTGGCTTTAAGCATTCGTGTGGGTTTTGGGGCTTTTATGGCTGAGTTTGAAAAGAAAAACCTTCATGCTATGGATGTTGTTTCTTTGTGTACTCTTCTTTTATATATGTACAGATTCTACCACAAAAACCTTATGAGGACCTTTCCATTTTTTTGTAGGTTAAGTTATTCAAGGTATAAATGGATAATTTCCCTGGAGGCTTTGCAGAGGACTCTACAACTTTTAATCAGGATATTCAAAGATGTCCATTCTTAAGGAATATTAATGAACCGACAGATTTCTCATTTTCCTCGTCCATGGCATTCCCAGTGCCTGTAAGTATCTTCTTTCTCTGAATTTATATTTGAATATACTTGTTTCATGATTTCATCAAAGATATCAAACGAAAATATAAATCTACCCGTTTGTTTTATAAATTACAGCATTGATCAATGTATCAACTATGGAAACCACATAGAAAATCGGATATGTATCAGTATTTCACTAACATTATATTTCAACGTAGTAGGAATGAAATACATGTCAAAAGTTATCTGTACATCTTGATACCAAATAGAATAAAGTTCACTTTGTTGCTTTGTTACGTTCCTCTGTTAACTATCCTCTTATTGCATTGTTTACTATTACCAATAAGCTATAGAGTTCCAAGTGTTATAGTTAGTTCTTACCTTACAATCTTCAATATAGGCTGTTGTTACGTTTTTCTGATTTATAATTAATTTAATAGCTGCTTCTACTCCCCTTATAGGTACGTGGAGCTAAAGGGCCAATTTTTGTAGATGCTCCCAATTTTGACATGGCATATAGGCTTTTCCATGGTCGAGATGGAGTGGTTCCACTTTCTGGAAGATCTACGCATCCAGAGTGTGTAGAACTCAAACCAGCCCCATCACAGTTCAATCCTTTAGCTGCAAAGGCTGCCACTATTAGCCTCTCATCCTTCGGACCTGGAGGGCCCTTCAGCTTTGATTCATTTTCAGAGAAGTGGAAAAATCAGAAGAAGAAATTTGAGTCATCCAAGAAAGAGTCTTCTTCGCAGGTGATCCATTGTTAATCATCTATGGCTTATAACCATTGTGTACTTTTTCTGCTAGGTGAAGAATGATAAATTTCATATGCTAACAATCTAGGATGAATGCAATCTGTCCTCATGAATTATCATTATGTTCATTTTCAGGGTAGAAATTCACAGCATGAAGCAGTGGGTAATGAGTGGCTACAAATGGGGAACTGCCCAATTGCAAAGTCATACCGTGCTGTTAGCAATGTCATACCGCTTGTTGCAAAAGCTCTTCAGCCCCCACCAGGCATGAAATTTAGATGCCCACCAGCAGTAGTTGCAGCAAGAGCAGCTTTAGCAAAGACTGCATTCGCAAAGAATCTCCGCCCCCAACCGTTACCAGCAAAAGTACTCGCAATCGGTCTACTCGGCATGGCAGCAAATGTACCATTAGGAATATGGAGAGAACACACAGAAAAATTCTCACCCTCTTGGTTTGCTGCTGTTCATGCAGCTGTTCCATTTATAGCTATGCTTAGGAAATCTATCTTAATGCCCAAGTCAGCCATGGCATTTACAATTGCAGCATCAGTTTTAGGACAGGTCATCGGCTCGAGGGCCGAGCGACTCCGAGTCAAGGCAGTGGCTTCAAAAAAACTAACCCTCCAAGATTCTCTAGCCGAATCCACGCTTTTGTCAGTGGTTACCATGAAGAATGGCCATTGTGGTGACATAGAGAGCTGGAGTCCAGCCACCAGTCTTCAAGTAGCAGGGCCACCTTCACCAACCAACGTGCCCTGCTGATCTCTTCTTCACCATTTATTGTGAGTTTTCTGCACTGTATCCTAATGAGTGTAATTCTTCAATTATATTATACCAGTTTGTTCATTTATTTGGCATCATTTTGACTATTCAAAATATCAAATGATGAAATAAAACGTCTCTCTCTCTCTCTCTTTCTCTGTGAATCAAGTCTTGGTGGGAATGTGGTGTTCAATTTTGCTCTGCTAAAAGCCATGGAGGAGGGTTTTTCATGAACCCTTTCCAAGTGGAGATTGCTGCTATTTGTAATCGCTAATTGACTTGGGACATAGATCGATGCGGATTGAGACGGCAGCTAAAGTTCAGGCCTTTGTTACACCTGTGAAGACGTCATCGTCTTGATTGTAACTGAGCATGTGCCTTTTGGCGTGCTTTGGCGTCTGTTACGCCTGTAAAGACGTCATCGTCTTGATCGTAGCTGAGCATGCGCCTTTTGGCGTGCTTTGGCATCTGTTACGCCTATGAAGACGTCATCGTCTCAATCGTAGCTGAGTATGCGCCTTTTGGCGTGCTTTGACATATGCGTGCTCTTGATATCGCCTTGTGGGCTCCCCATTAGACTTATCTTGAAACACGAACTGTTGCTATCCGTAATCGGCATAATAGGTGAATTTAATTCCAATATTTTAAAATAGGTGAATTTTATTAAAGTGGGCAAAATATTGTTTACAAATTTAATCAAATTTGGATTGAAATTCTTTAATTATAAATTTTGAATTGAAATTAAATTCAGAACATGGGAGTTAAATTAAGAATTTTGTAAAAACTATTTGATGTCAAATTGAAATTAAAATTAAATCGCTCACATTTATAATTTAGGTACAAAAGAAAAGGAAATTATTATTATTATTATTATTATTTTGGGTATATAAATATAACCATTTTTACCGATTTGACCGAGTCGAGGTATTGTTGAAAGTTTTTATTTCCCTCTTACTCTCCTCTTCAAGACAACGCTACTTCCAGTTCCCGCCCTTGATTCTGTACTGAATTCCTGCATTTCAATTATCATTGTTGTGTAAATTCGTTTCTTGATTTTTACATTCAAGATCAATCGCTATAATGCTTGGAAGATCCTTTCAAGTTATCGGAATTCCATGGCCCGATCTCAACGACGGATTGTTCTACAACGATGTCGTTAAACCCTCCGACTCCGGTTCTCTTTCTTTCTGTTCACTTCCGCTTTATGCAGAAGAAATTTCCATTTTGCGTTTTGTGATTTCTTCCTCTTTGCGTGATAATATGTCCAGGGATGTCTTTGATCGAGTTCTATTCTCGCAAATATAAGAGTTCGGCTCCACTGGAAGGGTAGGCCTACTCAAAGTCAGCCTAGATTATCGGATTATCTCGAGTTTGATATTTTTGAGGTTATTGCTAATTATTAATGAAACTTATTTTACATCGATTACTTTGCAGCTGGTTGCAGCGAATTCAGAACGAACAGGTACGGTGGTCTTTAATTTAGGTAATGAAAGCATTTGTGAGGTTGCATTGATGACATTTTTTGGAACATGTACGCGTGTGTATTTCATTGTATTTTTCTAATAAATTTTTTTTGAAACAAAATCAATCTGGTAAGTGTAGATAACGATCGATGGTCAGGTTATCACAGATCCCGAAACAATTCTCAGGTTCTTCACCCTGGTTCCTTTACTCCAGATTTAATGGTATGTTCAAAAGTTTGTATCACAGATTAGGTGTTTTCATATATTACAAAATCTGTAGGATTGGTTCTGAAGTAGTTTATCGTCGACTTCCGTGGAAAGAACCGGATACCCCTTATTTACTTGAGGTTCTATATGAAGACGATGAAATGGTAAATGCATTCTAGCTGGTTCATTCTTTTTTCTTGTAATCTGTGTTATTGTTTGCTTCCAGTTTCGATGAAGTTGAAACTACTAACTATTCTTCAGATTGCATTAAATAAACCGTCTGGCTTGCAAGTATTACCTGGCGGCGTCTTCCAGCAACGGACAGTTTTGACGCAGCTTCAATGGTGGTCAAGCAAGCAGAGTTCCTCCGTCTCAGAAGAGTTGCACCCTGTTCCTGTTCATCGCCTAGGAAGGGGGACTTCAGGTTAGATTACATAAACCCCGATGGCGAACGAGATTTCCATTTATATGCAGATGCTTTATTGTTATGTATTATCTTTGTTGGATATCTGATTACTTGTTTGCCTATAAGCCAATATCAAATGAAAATTGTTAAAATCTCAATATACCATTATATGCACAAGGTAGTAGCGATTTGTGGTGAAATGAAACAATTATTGAGACTGCAGTGGAATGTTGAAGAGTTGAAATTAGTCATGAGATTTAGGGTGCTTCTTTCAACTCTAGATGTCAGCAGTAGGAATTTATCTAGCACCCTAATTAGAGGATAGAAACATCATCAGTTCATTTACCAATGTTGTGAAGCCTTGAAGTTGTTTCTGTATTTCTTCCGTGGGAGTTCATATTGCCAAAATTAATGCCAACGAATGTCACTGCTCTTCTACTCCGTTTCATAAATACACTAATCCTGCGATTTCCTTTTACAAGATACCATTTACCTTTGGCTCTGAACTATTGTCAACTTTTTGGTACAAGGATTATTTTTCTTCCTTTCGTGATACACTAATCAACTATGTAGGAAATGTATTTCAATTTTGTCTTTAAATGCTTCACTAGTCCCTCTGCTTAATTCTATTTACTCATCTTTGTACCTCAGGTATATTATTATGTGCAAAAACGAGGCTCGCTAGAACACAGTTTGCTGCATATTTTGCTGATGGAACATCCTGCGTTGGGAGAAACAGGTTAAGCAACGTACATTTCTTGTCTTGCTTCTGTATATTATATATATTCAGAGAATGATTAGTTTGTTAGTAGTTTCTATAGGCTGATGAGTTTACGTCTCCTACCATTTCTAAGTGGCTTTCCTAGTTCATCATCTTCTTGATGGTAAAATTAATTTTTACCGTAGTGGAAATTTTTTCTTTGTTGCTATGCCACTTCTACCTTATTTTACAGTATAATAGGAAGATTCTTCTGCTAATATGATTATAGCTCAACCGGATACCTCGACCAAGAGGTCAAAGGTTCTAATCTCCTCATCTCCACAGTTCAACTCAAAAAAGGAAAAGAAAAAAACATGAACATTCTTCTCAATCATATGTTAGATGCACGTGCACCAACCAGGGTGAAGAAGGTTCTGGATTTGGATACCTAAATAATGATTTGGGACCACTTGTTTTGCAAACCTAGAAAGATAGATAAATGTGAAATCTGTCTGGTAAACAAATAACTAAGCTCCCCCAACCGTGTGAGTTTCATTAATGTTAGTATCCTGTTCTCGTCCTTTTTTTTTGTAGTAAAGAAAAATAAAAATGAATAAATAATGATCCTAATTTTAGAACACAAGTTACTAGATTTTAGCTTTTCTCTAGCAAAATAGAAATCAATATGAGCCAAAATGATGCAAACATTCTAGAGCATCTAAACATATAATGTCTTCTTTTTTCTTACTTTTCTTGGCTAAAATCGGTTAAATCAAGTTTAGTTGTAAATTTAGATAGTTCATTTTTTAAGGACATTTTGTCTTATATCAGTGATTGATTCCAACCATATTATTAACTTTTGAGCCCCAACTCAGAAACAACACTATGGAGGAAGGTACAAAGAGGAAAATTTCAAAAATATACCGTGCACTTGTGGCTGGAATAATTCATGATGACGAGGTATATTATATATTATGATATTTCTTGGATAACTTCGCGTGGTTAACTCTTTTCATTTCATCCTTCAAATTTCTATACTGTTCTAACAGTGCCATTTGCTGAGCTAGTAATAGTAATTCTACAATGTTAGATGATATTTGTTGGACGGTCTAGCAAGGGTCATTTGTTCTGAAATTTCATACAAGTGAGGATGAAAATCTCTGCACGTAGTTGAAAATTTAAAGCTCCGAGTTCGGGTTCCGAATAATTGGGGGTTTGGTCCAATAAGTGGTTGTTACATCACTGTGCACTGAAAGCTAGTTTTGTTTCCTGTCAAAAAGGTTTTCTTTCTCGTGGACTTCAGATATATGATTAAGAGTGTTGTTTTTATAGGTTAGCATTGATCAGCCAATTGGAAGGATGCGATATCCAGGGGTTGCTCAGGGCCTGTATGTTGCTACTTCCTCAGGTTTTTGGTTGCATCTTATCTGCTTATTCAACAAATTCCATTTTTTCTTGAGAAGACGGTATTGATACCTTAAAATATACAAGATAGGGAAAGCCCCCATCTCAAAGTTTTTGGCTAAGAAAGAGGAGTGGCATAATGTGTGGAATTCTTGATAAAGTTTAGATGGCCATCACGATTATTCTACTGTATATGTTTATTTCTGTTGTGTGTCTGACCGTTTCTTCAGTATTTACTCGTTTCAACACAATCATATTTGCTTTTTTGAATTAATAACTTGAGCAGGGAAACCAGCTTACAGTAAAGTCAATGTTCTTGAGAGAGACGAACAAGGCAAACACACTTTGGTCCAGGTATCTCATCTTTGACTTTTATGTTTTCTTATGTACTTATATTTCTTTTCTAATGGGATCTTTTTAATATAAATGAATATCTTTGATTCTTTTCCTGATCATCAATTATCACTACCAGAACTCCTTTGTTAGGCTTCCCATTTGACTTATGATTCACTCCAACCCTCCCTCACTCGAATGCAACCTAAAATGCACCTATATGACACGTACTGTCAATTCTCCATCATGTATATATTTAAAGCATGGACCATATTTTTCTGACCATCACATATATATATTGTTAGATGACAATCTAGAAAGACTAACGAACATAAGAGTGTGGGGAAGATGTGTGGGCATTGAAGAATAATTTTAGTGGCAATCATAGCAGGCACAACGAACAAACTTTTATACTTCGACATTCGCATGTTCTGCTTGTGATGGGATCTACTGCCAAGGTCTCAATGCTCGACTTTGTTTTCATACATTAGTTAGCATTGATTGAGATTTCATAAATTATTTTTAGAAGCCATATAAAGAGAGTTTGCAGCTGGTCCAGTAGTGAAATTTTTCTGAAAAGGAGAATGAATCGTGTGATGCACCACAGTTCGAAGGCCTTAAATTACGTCATATATATTACAGGTAGAAATTCAGTCTGGACGACCCCACCAAATCCGCATCCACCTTTCTTCAATAGGACATCCTTTAATAGGTAAGCCTGTTTATAAAAATTATGTAATTTTTCAGCTTTCAAATGCTTTGGGTGTTCTGGTTTTATAGACCAACTTTTACGTCCAACAACCGTCAGTTGACTTGCATCATTGTGACTTCTCATTTTCAATACGAGTGCTGAAAATTCTTTGCCAAAGTTTTACTTTTTCGTTTCTGCTTTCCTGGTAGGTGATCCTCTCTATGTTGCTGGCGGGCAACCAAACTGCCTTCATTCTGAGTTGGTAGATCAGAGTTTTGCAGAAGACGGGTATGAAGTTGCTGTTTCAATTAATAAAAAATTTCATTCTCCTTGTTCTGGCCCGCATAAAACTTGTAGCAAGGATCATTGTTTTTTTCTTTTTTGTCTAGGGTGAATTATGAAAAGCAGACAATCAATATGTTTGGTATCATAAATGTTTGGAATGGCATGCACAGAATTTTCACGCATTAGTATGCATTTGTTCTGTAGGATAGGGGTATTAGCAAGTATTCCCTGTTGAAATGTTTAACGCCCCCATCCTTTTATTCCAACTTTTTCCAACAAAACCACGTATATTTTGTCCAGAGGTTACCAAAGGCCTACGAAACCTGTGCCTGGAGATTGTGGCTACTACTTGCACGCACATCAGTTGGTCCTTCATCACCCAAAAACCAGTGAGGTAAGCTTTTGAAAAAGAGATGCAAAAGTTCTTGTGATGGCTGCATTTAATTTTCGTATAGAACAATGGCCATAGGTACTGAATTATGTTTTAACTTATTTCTTGTTGTATAACTAGAACTAAGAGGGTCTCCTCTGTTGCTTAAGGTTGTCAAGATCCTTGCCCCGCTTCCCCCTATCCTCCGGACACATGGGGAGTCTGAAGATGCCGGAAATAGAGTGGGATAAATAAATCATTGCATGGTGGATGTCAAGGCGAAAACTTTTCATGTGGGAATGAATGAATGAAAACTCGATAAGAATAAGTACTTTCAAAAGATTTATTTAGAAGGTTTTAGAAATAATTTTAAAGATATACCCATAGAGCCCTATTAAGAACTGCTAACCTGATTTGTCTCCAGGGATAACCAATGGCCTGTTCTGATCAAATTCAACTTGGGATTGAAAAAAGGATGTCAACATTATTGGCGTTGTTGACGGCTCCCTTGGCTTGAACAGGGGCGATCCATAAAAGTGTTAACTCGCAGTGGGATTTATGTAAGAAACTGAAGAATGTAATATTCTGAAGCAATACTTGCCCTCTTTTTGCCCACAAGAGACGGCAATAAGAACCGTCAAATTCTGCTATCATTAATTGACATCAACGAAACTATGGTACATGGTGCAGCAAAAGAAACAATTTGCTGCTGAGGGCCTCTGTTGACAAGGCTCTCTGAACATATCTACTACCAGCTAATTCTCTTTTCTATGAGCCACCACCCCCCTCAGCAGCCTTATTGCAATGCAATTTAGTATCTGATGCATCCTCGTCGTCGTCATCATTACAATTCTTTCCTACAATAATTCCCTCCTTACTACTATTTACCTCAGACATCTGATTGCTATTTGATTTCTGTCCGTTACAAATAGGCTGCTGCTCAATCAGAGAGGCGGTTTTGGAGCAATGATCAAATGTAGGATATCTGGACAGTAGGGTAGTGGGATCAGGAAGTGATGAAAACCCGGTTCGCATTCGACTCCCATCCCAAAACCCGTAACTTCTCGAGGGAGCATCCTCCTCTTGGCCAGAAGAATTTTTACGATCAAACTTGGCAGTGATCAGATTTCCATGGCTATTTACTTTCAATCTGCACTTCAACTTATGGTGAAGCTCGGTCCTGTTTCCATTCTCACTGGATCCAGATTTTGAACTCGGGACAGACGAGGAATGTGTAAGAATCTGACCGAATAATTTCAAGTCACCATTTCTAGATGATTGTTCGGAATCAGACAAACTACGTGAATGCACTCTGACGTGATGACACCCTTGTTCCTCTTTAGACAATGAGCTCACATGAGCATTTAAGGGCATTGAAGAGTTATCTGCTGTGTGGGAGTGGGCTTTATCACTTCGATCACTGCTAGTATCTACACTTACCCTCTTGGTTTCAGCATTTGAATCATTTCCAACTAATGCTGCAACCAAAGCAGAAATGCCTTGTTCTTTTGCAATTTCATCAGATACGACTGCGTGTCGCTGCTCGAGTACCAAACCGTTCTTATCATGGGTAGAGTTCACAGACTGACAGTCATCATCAAAACCCGAAAGAAAGCCATCCTTCCTATTACATGCATCATCAGACACCATAGCATCCACAGCAGCATTACTACAAGTCTTTGAGGATGGATTACTCTCCTTGACTTCCAGATGGATAGACTGCAGATTCTTCGACTCTGTTTCGCCACCACTTATACACGTCACAGACTTCGGCAAGTCATCAACCATCTGAGAGCTAACCCGTTTGCAAGGAAAGGCATCTTTGGTATCTACCCCTGCTTCACAATCACCTCCGTTAACGCCATGTCCGTTTCCATCTTCTGGCATTTTCTTTGCAGAACATAACACATCCAACCCAAGGCACTTTCGTGCTTTGCTAAAGAAGACCTTGCACTGGTCCGTGGATTTTGATCCTACATGGGTAGAGATCATGGAAAAATTCTTCCCATAAACAGACACTGCTTCTATGAAAAGCGACTTCTCCCCATCTGTCCAATAAGAAGGATCCATTTCTCCACAACTCTCATCTGAAAAAATCTCATCATCAACACACTGCGGAACATTGTTTGTAATACGTCGTCTTAACACGGTTGTAGCACCACCCTTTTTGCACTTCAAATCCTGAGAACCATCTCCACGGTTGAAATTACTCGTGACACATGAACCCAGGGCTTCTGAAGACAGGGAACCACATATTCCAGCTAAAACATCAGCAGCCACCTTTTCTCTTTCATTTCCAAAACCATGAAAACTTTTGGCCCTTTCTGAAAGATCATCATCGAATTGAGTTGTGCGATACGCTGTTCTTCCACCAGACCTGCTGCTAGAATACTTATGAGCACGGACCATCGCAGCACCCAACATGTCAAGAGAAGCAGCATTTGCTTCTGAATTCCATTTCTTTCCTGTTGTCATCAAATAGTTACTGGTGGACTTCACTTTCTTCCCAAACTCCAGCTTCTTTGTTTTCTCAAAGCAATCGGATTTGTGGTTTTTGTAATAGAACTCAATACAGTCTGCTGTTGTCTTATGATCAAGAAAGGATGCAATTTTCCCGAAATCTTTTCCGAAACATTCCAACTTCTCCATGAAAACATCTTTCTCTTCTGAGGACCACGGGTTAATCATTGCCCGCTCCTTCTCAACAGCGCACGGGTTCTCAACTAATCCATTATTAGAGATGAACCTCGAGGCCATCTTATCCTTCTGGTCCAAAATTAATGCGGGCATCTTCAACGTCGTCCGGTACTGCTTAATCTGGGGACTAGAAGAAAGCTGCATGCTCATGTGCTTAAGAATCTCCGCGTTAGAGACTGGGTGGTTCAGATTTCCTGCTGCAAGGCCAGTTTTAAAATTCAAAATGATAATATCAATTGTATCACGTTAGGAGATTCTCCAAAGATGTACGCCTCCTGATTTAAAGATGAAAAAAGTTTACAAGAAGGCAAAGTAATGATATAAATGGAAGGGGGCAAAATCAACAAACCATTATGCAAAACAACGAAAAATTGAAAAAAGATAACAAAGCTCATAGAGAACTCTATCAACTTTGAACACCAAAGATTGAAGGAAAGAAATATACCGTCAGAAGAAGCATTAAGATCACATAAATTAGCAGACCGATTTGATCAATCTTCTATCATACACATACACCATCAGTAGTTCTATTAATAAAAGACAATAAAATTTGACGTGCGTTATCTCTTAATTCAGGATCGCCATACTCGACATACTAAGTGCAATGATTATATGCCAAAAGACCCTTCTTCCCTCGTACTACTTCTGCGTTTACCAGTTCAATTATTCAAAATCAACAAATTATACATTCATTCCACATGACCTAAGCATTTCTAAAATGAGCAAAGAGTCGGTCACCAACAACGAGACTTGAGATGAAAGACATGATATTTATAGAAACAGGACGGTTAAAGACGAATAAAGTATAATAAAACCATCATATTGCGTAGACCCACGTGCAAACTCTCCTCTCCCCTTCCAAATAAGTAGCCATATCCCATACAAAAAAGAACGTGCAGTCAACTTATTTAACATCGCAATGCCTTCTCAGAGAACCTCCGAAAATAAACTAAAGTGAGTATATCAAGTACAGCATTCCAAAACTAGAAATGATGCGGATAGTCAACACTAAGATCATTCCAGGGGGAAAAGATTTCAACCAAGCACTTCAACTGGGGTTCACAGACGCCAGAATTAACAGACAGATGTGAAGTATATGTATTACGATATGACTTGCACACTGATCCCATTACTGAGAAAAGGTGGAGTACCAAATGAACAAAATGGAAAACAGAAGGAATATTTCAGATAAATTAAGTCATTAACGTGGATAAGAAAAACAAAGTCGTTAGAGCAAAAACCTGTTTAAAATATTTTTGAACATAAGGATATAGATTAGATGTCTCCTTACCAGGGGAAGGCATACGGAATCGGATGGAAGATCGGTTCTTCTGATAACCACTGTAATTTGTCCACAAACTCAACTGATATTTTTTCTGAGATTTTGCACGTAACTTCCTTACAGGAGGCACATGAAAACTCTCCTTCCACAAGGACTGGTAGGCTCTATATTTAAGTGTAATTACCCTCTCCTTAAATTTTAATAACCGCTTCCTCTTCGCAAATCTCTCTTTCACCAAACATTGATTCTGTGAGAAGGCATTTGTGCTCCAAATATCAAGCTTACGTTCATTGGCAGGCAACAGCCTGGTTAAAGCTTCAGAAGCCTTACAGGCAGACTCTTTATTGGATGCCAGAATTAAATCCAACACACTATCTCCCTTCTCATCAGCAAATTCATATATATCACTAGAAACGGGCTCTAATGTGACACCTTCACTCTTTATTATCATGTTATTGTCAACAGAGGCCACAACGTTGTCTTCACTGCTGCAATCAGAAATTGTTAGATTCTCTTTCGTGATGACAGATTCCTTCACATCCAACCTCCCAGACCTATCCTTTCCCTTGACATCAGCATGCACTTCTTCCAAGTCACTTGTAGAATGTTCCATTGGTTTTGAAATAGTATTTGCAGAAGTAACAACTGGCAGGGTAGCAACCGTATTAGTGACATCATTTTTCTCCTCAAAATATTTCTCTCCCTCCAGAAAAGAACGGGATGCTAAGGGGAAAGAAAAGTAACCCTTACTATCAGATATCAACCCCTTCAACTCATTTTCAAGTAAATCAATTTCAGACTCGGTCGTCTCCAACACTTTAGAAATTTCCTTTTTATATATAAGCAACTTACTCAAGGCAGTGGAACTCATAAAACTGGAATCCTCTGAAATCGAATCACTAGATTGCAGCAGCGGAATGAGTGGGGCACACAACTTAGCTATTGAAAAATCATTCAACTTCTCTACAGGGGATGTTCCCTCGTACTGATTCTCAAAACCAGAACTGGGTGAACCATGCAAGTCACTGACATCATTATCAATTGATGCCTTTCCAGAGGATTTTTCATCCCCACCTACACAATTTAACATAGATGTAGAAGTTAAATTTAGTAAATTGCAACACATTTCACTTGATAGCAAGGAAGACAACAATCTGGAGTGATCATGACACATGGCAGTACTTAAAAGCACAAAATTTCTCTGAATGAAATCCTTCTCTCTAAGATACCTTGGCAACATAAAGACTATTCTGAGATAGTCACTAATGTGAGATGTATACTGTTGTAATGGATATCAGAAATTTGAAGTATTGGTCACATATCCAAACCTAAGGACGAATCGGTCCAGACAAGTATCACTCTAGTTTTCTTTATTCTTCCTAACTAGAGCACAGAGTTGTGGAAAAGAAAGCTATTTAAAATGTTCAACAAAGGAAACACTCGTACCACAATCATTCAAAGGAATTTTCAACCATCAAATCACCGTTGACCTTTCTTTTGATCTTGTCTTCGGTCCAAGTAATTGTATCTTTCTTTATCACTCTCTAAAGATATATATATCTCTCCAAGAAAACTCCTACTTCTGATATGCCTAATCTTACCCTTAAGACATGTCTATTTTTACTCTCTCTCTCTCGTTAATCCGCCCCTTCTTATAAATAAATGTGACCACCCATACAGCAATCATGAGGAGATGTCAACCATCAGATTATTGTTTACTTTTCTTGTGGTCTTGTCAACTATCAAATTCTACTCCTAATTTTTATCCATCTTCAACACATGCCTAATTCTGTTTACTCTTTGGTTAATCTGCCCCTCATAGTTTTGTTAGCATCTTCTTACTCATTTATTACCATCACCGCCACAAGGGTATTTTCGTCTTCAAACCTAACAAAACCCTTCCTAGGCATTATTCTCGTGTCTTCACAAAATGAGAACTTCTTTGTGAACCCTCTCTCCTCCTCCTTCCTTGATCCTACCGGTGATATGAATGTTTTTCTCATCTCCCCCCTAGGAGTCACCCACCCTGACCCACTAATGCTTTTAATCTTCGTAATTCTTTTTTCAAGTTCTGGTACTTGGAAGTTAAATACACGCATTCATGATTTCTTTCACACAATATAGTCTACCACAATAAGACGCTGAGTTTATTAACTATAATATGTAGTTAACAATTTCCATTTTTACCCCTAAAATCTGTAACTTCTTATGACAATGAAAACATTAAAAGCATTTTTTTCTAGCTAGGCCAAACTCGGATTGAGACTATTTTATATTCTATATAAATACACAAACACTCATCAAATTCTTCTTCTACAGCAACCAGTTGAATGTGAAACATTGACATATTATCACTTGATAAACACCGTATGAAGAGAAAAACTGCCACACAGTAACAAACATACAAAAGAGGTCGGTGTACCTGGAGAGGAACCACTAATGACAAAAGAATGTGGTGCAGGTGAGGTACGATCAGAAAATCCTGAACATCTAGGGCCTTTTTCAATCAAGCTAGAATTCAGAGAATGGGTAGATTCTGCATGAACATTTGTAAAGGCAGTAGCATCAGGAACTTCAACCTTCTTTTTCTCATACTTGGCAAGTCCCTCACCCCATCCTAGCCGTGGCTTCTTCCTGACAGTTGCTTCATCATATGGCAGAGAAGACATAGCACACTCAGCAGAATCAGCTGAAGGAGACAAATTTTGCGGTGCATTTTTCAACACAATCTCAGACTTCGCCTCATTAGAATCTAAAGCACCAGCAATCCTTGTGCTACTGGAATGGCCCGATGTTGAAGTGCAAGAAGACAAGGCACCAGAACGTGTCCATTTAAGAGGCTTCCACCCTGAGGAACTCACTGAGTACTCTCGATCACGTCTCTGGTTTGTGCCTAATCCATTGACATCATCGACCTTATCATGCTGGCCTTTTACCTTATCTCTGGAGTTTACAAAGTCAGAATGAGAATGAGAGGGATATATCAGCATATCATTAACTGACCTCTGATCATAATTCAGATCATGCTGCAGCCTACCACCACTGTTCGTAGATCCATTACTTGTTGTCCAGGAATGACCTTTCCAATCTCTTTGACTAAAAGATCTGCTTTCCCTACCATTCCTAGGGTACTTCCCATCGCCATGTGAAACAGACGGCCGGCTACTAACATTTTCCAGCATCTTGTTATTGAATGACATAGAAGGCCCATATCCATGACCATATTCGTCAGAGAACACATGCCAACCACCCTGCCTACCATGACCTTCAGAAATATTCAAAGCAGAAAATGAAAATGCAAAAGAAAACACAATCAGTACGAGCACAGAACCAAAAATAGGGAAAAAGATTAAAACAAGGTTATCCGGGAAATTTCTGCAGCCAAACTTAGATTCCTAGTCGGGACTAATACAGGAGATAAACCTCGGATCTAACCATCAATACCGACTATTATGTGATAAAGAGTTCATAAATCATAATAGTTAGATGATAAATCCTTCGTCGATTAGATCTATGAGGAAGATAGGATCCAAAGGAAGACTTCTCTTAAGTTTCAATTAAGCAAAATAAGAAAAGTACATGATTGGAACTACGAGTCTCTAAAAAGAGCCCGACATGTCGATATCTCGAATCATTGAAACCTGAGAGACTCGAAAAAAAATCAGAAAGGAAACCAACAACTCTGTAGCTCACCTGGCGGTCTGCGAAAATCACCTGATCCCCACCTACTAAACTCACGGGATCCGTGACTGGTTGAATCTCTCCATCTAGGCACAGGTCCGAGGAACTCTGACCTCTCGTGTTTCCTCTCCTTGAAGAAGTCCTTCCGATCCCAGGGTAAAGGTTCAGGCGGCATGAAAATGAGGCCAGTAGCATGGGCACCCTCGAAGAACAACCGTTTTCAACGCACAGCACAAGGAGCGCGCCGAATAGCACCGCCCGAAATCAATTAAACTATTTTCGCAACCATGTCAAGCAAGAAGCCTCACTAACAAAACATTTATACCAAAGCAATCGCCAAAGAGAAAACCAAAAACAAAATCAACTCAATATATCGATCGCTTCTGCCTACTCTCACTGGCCGCGTAACAACAATAATACGCCGATATGTGGCAGCAACGACGAGCCACACGAATAACCCCGGACCAAACCTTGAACAGAAACCACCAAAACGACGAAGAAAAACAGAACCAAAACCAATACAGGCGTACGTGATAGATAGAGACTGAAACGGCTGAATTCAAAGGGTTTTGAATCAGATGGAACCGACAATGCCGATTGAAAGACTCTGCGCCATCACATGCAAAACCTCAATCTCACTTCGAGCTCGCAATCTCCGCCCTTCGTTTCACCTCAGCGACCCTCTCCGAACTCTCTCTCCCTCTCTCCCTCTTTGCCTCCGGCGCGAGAAAGTGAGAAATTGAACCGATAAGGGACGATAGAGAACCCTGACAGAAGAGAAAGGGGGGAGATTGGTTCTCCGGATCTCACAAAACTCTCAACCTTATTCAATTATTCTTTTCGCGTCCACTAATTTTCATTTTTTCTTTTTCTCAAATTTCTTCGTTCCTTTTTAGTTGAAATATTATTTTGGTAGCTTATTTCATTTTCGTCCACATTTTAATATATATTAATATTTAATTTTATTGTTGTTTTAATAAAAATAAATCTCTGTTAACATTTTTTTTATAAAATTTAATATATTCATGTTAATTTTGTTGAAATAGTTTACATTTTATCTAAAAAAATCTAAAAATCCTTTTTTTTTTAAATTTATTAATATCTTTCCGACTGAAAAAGTAACATTAATACCATTAATGTTTATAAAAAAAATAAAAAATTATTGCGATCAATATATGAACGGAAGTTGTCTCACAAAATAAAGAAGAAAAATTATCCGATAATTAAATTTATGGTTTGATATATTAATCATATTTTGTGACATTATTAATAAAAAAAACGTGCGTAGAAATTAGCAAGCACAAAGGCACGTACGAATGGCATGTGTGAAGTCAAACCACTATCTAATGACGTGTGCACCACGCGCACTCAATGTCAGGTTTGGCACGTGAAGGAGACGTCGGGGAATCTTCCCGGCATCTTCATTGCCTGTCGCCGATATCCGGTTCACCTGACCTGACCCAGCCAGCAAGTGCAAGAACCATAAGCTGCCACGTGTACTGTTGCTATTTTTTACGAACTGACAATTTTACCCTACCTCTTTTGATGTGAGATATGGACTTGACTGTAATTTCATTGTGGATGGGGACCACGTCACAATTTGTCCGAAAATTTAATGAAAAATTGCAATTATTATTATCATTATTATTATTTTTTCTTGTTATTTTGTTCTATTAATAAATGAATGCTGCGGAGTCTAAAAAGTATTAATTACCTCATCGGTGTATTTGGAGTTCCCCATTAAACGCCCGTGGCGGGGCTAAAGTTGGAATGCAAAAATAATATATATATATATATATATATATATATAATACAAATTATAAATTGAGTTAAATTATTTGACTTAACCAAAGGTTAAAATTTCCATAATAATTCAAATTTACAAACATATTGATAAATAGATTAAATTAATAAACTATTTGTACTTTGTTTAAAAATTAATTTTAAAATTTCAAATGCTTAATGATTAAACTTAAAAAAAAATAAAAAAAATATATTCTAGCACTTTTAAATAAAAGATAAAAAAAAATATTTATACTGTTAATTTTAAATAAAAAGGCTTTAATATTTTATTTAAAAATAGGGTTAAATTTAAAAAAATATTTGCCAACTTTTAAAAATATTTAAAAAAAATATTCTTAACCTTCAAAAACTTCATTAATACCTAAAAAAATCGTGTGATTTTAAAAAAAATTAAAAAAAAAAAAGTTCCTTTTTCAAAATATATCTATAAACTTTAAAAAATAACATTCATTTTTAATTTTTAGAAAAAATAAAAACTTATATAATTTTGACCATTAATATTCTTCGAGAACACCAACTTTTATTAATATTTTTTTTATAGATATTAAGAGTGTTAACGTAGTTTTTAGAAATTCACAAAAACATTTTAATTATTTATTAAAATTATATATTTTTTATGTTTTTTAAATGAATGATATTATTAGAAATTTTGAAAGCTTATAAATATTATTAAAAATAAAAATAAATGTTCTCGAAAGCCTATTTAAGTCCCAAACAATTGTTTTAAGATAATTTAATGGAAAATAAATAGATAATAGATAGAAACGTAACGGGCATGTCAATAAATGAACATAATATTTAACAACAATCAGATTTTTTTTTTTTTTTTTTGGTTGCAGACAATTATTAATAATATTATGGACAAGTATATTATAAGAAAAACAATGAATTATTATTTTAAATAAATTCAAATATTTAATTTATGAGTTGAGTGTATATGTTTTATGTTAAAAATTATGAGTAATTTTTTATATGTTTTATGTTAAAAATGTGTGTAATTTTTGTCAACTGTCAACTTAATTAATGATATATTTTAAAATTAATTAGTTTAGAATTAGTTCGATGGAAAGAAGAAACTTGATTAGTTGCTAGAGATGAGCAAGAGTCAGGATGCACCCGATAAGTAGACGAGGGACGAATGGTAGAAATCGATAAATAATAGTGATAGTGACGAGTTTTTGTTTCTAGATGTATAGCAGAACCCTTTGAGCTAAATCGACAGTGTTTGAATTAAAACATATTAACGTTATAGAAATATAGGTTTAATTGCTTGGATTTCGGAGACACTCTGTTTTATATTTACAACCAATTTGAACATATCTCAGCTCAATGAGTTAGTGTTTTTTTTTTTTTTTAAATAAATAAATTGGGTTGTTTTTATTTAATTCTTAAAATTTAATTATGTACCTAATTATTTTTCAACTCTTAAAATTAAAAATATAATTACAGAAAGTAGTTAAAATTTAAGATTATTCCAAATTCTAAATTAAAGAACCATTAAACACAATTTTTTAAGGTTAATTTTATAATTTAATATTTAATAAATATTTACTATACCAAATTTATAAATTTTGGAAACTCTTCTAATTGGGTAATATAGTTGGTGGACCTAATTCAACAAGTTACAACTACTTCCTACGCACTAATTCTTGGATTACTTACCATTTTATTTTTAATTTTTTCACTTAATTCGGAATAGAAGCTTAACAAACAAATAAATACCAATAAAAAAACAAAAAAAATCATATTTTTATTGAGAGCCTTTTTTTTTAATTATATGAAAAATAAACGAATATTTTATTTTTTTAATTTTTTTTTATATTTTTATTTTATTGTTTTATGTTTTTTAACATTATACTAAGTATTCAATTTATTTAAAACGCATTTAAATTCGAAGTTAAATTAAAAATAGTTAAAAATAAATAAAGATTTTTTAAAAATGTTGTTTTTTCGATCTTTTTGAAAGTGTTTTTTATTATCATTATTATTATTATTATAAAAATGTATTATTTTTTAAAATAAATATAAAATACAAAATGTTATCGATATAATTTAAAAAAAATTAAGTTATTAAATATTGTGATTATTTTATTTTATATTTGTTAAATTAAAAAATAAACCATTATAATTGTGTTTTCTTTTAAAAAATATATTTTACGCTTGACAATAAATATTAATGAATAAAAAAGAAAAAGATGGTTAGTTGGTCCAATATTAATATTGATAAATGAGTTCTTACCACTGTGTGAGTTGTACTATCAACAAAAACATTCTTGTGATACTTCACGACCATATATTTTTAACGTATCATATTTGATATTTTATTATAAGATAAATATTTAGATATTTATCTTATTACCATATATATTTTTATTTATTATTCTTTCCATATATTTGTAATTTATTTGACTATAAATAGATAATTTTCGTACCATTTAGATGTGATGGACTAAGCAAACATTCTCATTCTCGTACCCACTTTAAATTAACTCAAACTGGGTGACTCATTGAATTCTCCAACCCTTTAACTGAATAGTTTTTTTTATAAAGAAAAAAAAAAATTGAAGCTTGAAAATTGTCGGAAAATAAAAAGAAAATTTCAAATACACTTTTCTAACCAACCCTTTTATTCTTATTTTTAAAATTTTATTTTAATAATATATATATATATATATATAAAGTTGGCAGCAAAGAAAACAAGCAGCCCAAGGTACAGACAAACATCTCGCATTCCATTCCAAGAACCAAGAAAAAGAAAAAGAAAAAGAAAAGTTAGAAATTACACGTAGACTTGATAAATTAAAATTTATCAATTTATTAAATATAAAATAAAAATTTTATGGTCATTATCTATTAAACCATTAGAGATTGATGGTTTAATTTGATCGACTCTGAACATAGCTCGTATGTACCGTTAAACAAGAGATCAGGATTAAATTTGAACATAGCTTGTATGCACAATCAAACAAGTCAGGATCGAATCTGAACATATCTCGTATGCACAATGAAACAAGAAGTTATGATTGAATTTGAACATAGCTCGTATGCACGGTCAAACAAGAGACGGATGGAATCTGAACATAACTCATATGCATGGTCAAACAAGAGGTCAGGATCAAATCTGAACATAATTCGTATGCATAGTCAAAGAAGAAGTCAAGATCGAATCTGAACATAGCTCGTATGCATAGTCAAACAAGAGCTCAGGATTAAATATGAACATGACTCGTATGCACTGTTAAACAAGAGGTCGGGATTGAACGTTAACGAAGTTGGAACTGAGAGAATTTAAACCAGTATCATTTAAGTACCACCAGGCATGCTGTCTTAAAAGCTGGTACATTTTTAAAAGTATTTAGAGACAATTTATAGGCCAACTTAAAAGCTGAGGAGGACCAAGGAAAAAAGCAATAAATTTTCCCTCCATTTAAGAAACAAAACTCCCACAACAACCAAACCCAAAAATCAGAAGAAATGAACAAATTGAGCAACTCGGTGATCGGGCTACTGAACTTCTTAACGCTGTTAGGGTCAATCCCGATCATAGGGGGAGCCCTGTGGATGGCTAGGAACAGCACCACCTGCGAGGCGTTTCTGCAGACGCCGCTGCTGGTGCTCGGGTTTTTGGTGCTTTTGATTTCACTGGCGGGGTTCGTGGGGGCCTGTTTCAACGTTACTTGGGCACTATGGCTCTATTTGTTCGCCATGTTGCTGCTCATTGCTACGCTTTTGGGCTTCACCCTCTTCGGCCTCATCGTTGCCAGCAAAGGCGGCGGAGGCGACGGCGGCGAGCATCGGTTTGGGGATTATTCTGTGTGGTTAAGGAATAGAGTTAATAATCCTCAGTATTGGGTCACTATTAAGAGCTGCATTTTGGGGTCTAATACTTGCAACCAGGTTTCTTCTTGGACTCCTCTTAATTATTTACAGAGACAGATAACTCCCATTCAGGTACTCTCCTAAATTTTCATTACACTTGCTGGTTCTATGATCAAACTTAAACAAGTCAAAATTTTGGTTGCAGGCGGGGTGCTGCAAGCCACCGGCTTCATGCACCGAGAACGTTCAAGATCCCGATTGCTACCGGTGGAATGGGGCGCCCAACGTGCTGTGCTATGACTGCATTTCATGCAAAGCAGGTGTCCTTGAGACTGCAAGAAGGGACTGGCATAAGCTCTCAGTTCTCAACATTGTCATGCTCATTTTTCTTATTGCTGTTTACTCTATTGGTTGTTGTGCATTTCGAAACACCAAACGAGCTCAAACGGATTACGCACACGGCGAGAATCGCATGATCAAAATTCAACCCACATGGGATCACAAGATGTAAGTAGTAATCTACCGCTGCTATCTTTGAATGTTTCGTGTTTATTTAGCATTATACTTGATGAGTGAAGCTTGTCTTACAACTTCTGTTCTTGCAGGCGGAGATGGTTGGAGGACAGGAAGGAGCTATACTAACTGTTGAAATCCCATCTTCTATCAGTGTTGGTTTCCTAGAGCTAGAAAATTCCAAGTGTTTTTCGATTCCAGTGAAAGGGAATGGGTATTTTCAGGGCTTTCTTTTTTATGCTGTAATCATAGGCTACTTTAAAGTGCATGATGAAGCCTCTCTACTTTTTATCACAATGTCGCACTATTGCTTTCTTTTTAGCCTTTGAAGAAAATTACTCAACATTCAATAGCGACATGTGTAAAGTTTGCCAATCTAATTAGATCATTATGATAGAAGAAAACGCGTCAAACACACACATAAATGAGAGATTACCTTGAATCTTGAAAGTTACTTCATCTGGACCAAGTCTGGTTTGCAGCTAATCTGGTTAGATTCCCAATAAAGGATTTAAATTAAAATTCACAAAGTAAAAAGGAGAAAAAAATGCTTTCAAATAGTTAAAAATATGTTCGGAAGTGATTTTAACCATCTCGAACATTCCGAGCAGAGCGGTGGAAAAAACTTGATGAAATTCTACTCGTATATATATATATATATATATATATATCCGGCTGTATACAGATAAAATCCCCAATGCTGCAAAGCACAAACGAAGAAACATGTTTTTTTTTTTTTTTTTTTTTTTTTTTTTTTTTTTTTTTTTTTTTTTTTTT